TTTGACGAAATAGAATTTACCAGTCTTCATGCTGTCGCTCAGTATGTTACTCAACTGAACAATACCAATTTCATCACCAATGAGTTAAACATAGCCTATAAATGAAAACCTCACAAATTTTAATAAAAATCATCAATGTAGCCACAATTTTTAAACAGTGAAATTGAAAATTTAAATTACGTTACTGGATTAAGGGACTGTAAGATAACAGGCCTCTTCTTACAAACCAAAAAAAAGAAAATATTAGATGGAATTTACTTAATACAAACCTTTGTATCCTTGAACAATATTCCTTACTTTGCAATGTATATCGTTATATATCTATTTGATGGGATCTGCTGGAGTTCTGTTTGGTTTGACATTATTATTGTTGCTTAGCACTACCCAGCCACTAATTTGATTTCTAGTCTAACGGTCTCCCAGGTAAGTTCTTCCATTGACATGCCTCCACATCCGAGTCGTGACTTGATCTACGAAATCCAAGGTTTGCTGCTATAATTTTTATAAATATTATATATTCATTCACGCTATGCTTGCCTTATCGATTTATGAAACGTTCCTCAGCTATTTATAGCTTTTAATCAAATGGTTCTCTAGATCGGCTTTCAAATTAGAAGAAGTTAATTTAAGATACACAGTTGATGCCAAGTGCATGCATTCTGCTGAGCATGCAATATTACTACGAGATATCAACTGGGAAAACGATGCCTTATTCCTATTTTATAATTAAAATGTGCCAAATGGTAAATAGAGTAAGAAACCACGTTACCGTATTATGATATGGGCGGGTGCAAATCACAGTCTTTGGTTTTAGAAATAAAGAAACCAATGTAAATGTAAACAACAAATATATGAAATGCAATCATCTGAAAATTAATGTAGAAACAAATTAAGTTTTTGATTGCATATTGAAGTAAGGAATGAAGAAAATAAGCTTAAATATATAGAAATAGACTTCACTGATCCATTTAAGTAAAACACAAGAATTTCTTAGATGTTATGAAATAAAAATCATATGTTAAATCGATGGCGAGGCGTCGCTTTTGTTTTCGGATTAGAAAGTCCTAAATGGTAGACAATGGGCTCCCGCGCTTATGTAAATAAAACATATGATTTTAGGACCAAAAATAAAGAAATCAATATAATAAATTGCGTTAGTGCAATTGATGGAAAACACATTACTGTTGGTTATCCTACCAAGTTTGGAGCACAATTTATTTATAGTTATAAAGAGAAGTGTTTATGCCAACAAATAAGTAAATCTTTTTTATAAAATTTGTTTTATTGGTAATTTCTTTATTATTTGGTTAGGAATCTGTGATGCAAATTATACTTCCGCGAGTGCATATATCCGAGCTTATGGTTCCAAAGTAATAGACATTTTGAGGAATTCCGTACATGTGCGGCGGCTGTTTAGTATCAAATTGGATATTTCACAAACACACACTATAAAAAACTCCAATGTAACGTTTTCATATTTATTTGTAGGTGACATAATAACTTTGATGGTCGTGCTCTGAAAGATTTTCGTCTGAAGATAGATAAATTTTCAATGCCTGTTTTTCAAGACTAAGCCAAGTTATAAGAAGTAATATTACCATTTCGGCATTGATATTGTTTATCACTTCAACTTTGGGATTTCCAAACATTGTGTTACTGGCATTTTTTGTTTTAAATTTTAGCCTGAATTCGAGAAATTTTTATGTTAATCTCCATAATCTGCTTCAATTTCATGACACCGTCGAAACCATATTTTTGTACTAATTGCTCAATAATTTGAAAATTACCATTTATTACTCCCTAATAAAATAATTTGACCAATATATTTCAACTTTAAAATAGGCGGTCTTTATTGGTTGTTTTTCATTTCTTATAATATAATGCATGATATAATCCAAAATCGCAACATCACATAATATAGAAAAAATGTCAATTATTGAAAAATAGACTTAAATTATATTTAAAATGTAAAAGAAACAACCATCATTTCTTCTTGTGCTTTTTTTCTTTTTGATTTGTTCGTATATATACATGCAAAACCATATAATTTGTCAGTTTTGTTATGAAGTTTTGTAGCAGTCAGCAAAGTTGAAGTTCAAACTGAAGAAAAGGATAACGCCCCATTGTGTCAACTTCCTAACGCAGCGTTACGTTCATCTCCTAGATTTAGGTATAAGTTATTTTAGGAAAAATATATATTAACGCCAATGAGATCTACGAACTACTAACGGGAAGATACTTGTGCATATTTCTTTCTTTCGGTAACCCTAAATAAATAAGAACACGTCCTTACTTCAATATACAATTTTGTCTTCACGCGTAGCTAAGTGAAGAAAAAAGTTATGGTTTAAGCATTCTGTTATAACATTTTTTGATATCGGTATTGCGATAAATTGTGCTTCATAAAAACAAGTATTGACTCATTAATTAAATTTAGTGCAAACTATTTAACAAAGCAAAACTATTTTTAATAATATACCGAAGATCTTAATCATGGGTTTGGCTTTGTCTAGCGTTTTAGCAAGACTTTTCGGCAAACAAGAAATGCGCATTCTAATGGGTAAGAAACATTAAGCAGCACCTCCGTTATTGTAGTCTTATTCGGTGAAGGTTTATCCAATCAAAGTGATGTATTTGGATTTTCTTTAATAACAATATAGCAAGAAGACATGAAGATGTTGAAACTATTTGTTTTGGGAGAATGCCCGCAAACATATTACATGTGTGTAGTGACAATTTTGCGTTTGAACATCCCTTAAACAGCAGCCGAAAAAATGAAAGCATTTATATATTAGTGTATGTATGTATCTTAGAATCTGCATAAAAATACATTAGCCAACAACGCATTGACTTCCTCCCTACCGGCCGTTTTGTTTTAATGGAGCGGTACTATAAGTGGTCATCAATAATTTTTTACTTCATACTTGTTACAAGAATAATTGACACCAACAGATATTTTATTAAGGATCCCATGGAATAAGCATCGAAATAAAAATGGATTAAAAATTTCCATTCGCGAAGATTTTTGGAATACCGTTGTATTAAATTGTAATCAAGAAAGCCACGAATTTTGTATTGGAAGTAAAATCTTTTTATTTACTTCATTTGAAAGAATGCCCTTTTTTACAATGTTACTATGCATGCACACTCTAATTTCCGATTAAATGCAAATGGTAGAATTTAAATGCTTGTGTTTGATATAGTATGATTACCGGGAACATATGGGCGCCATCTTCTTTTGTCACCTCTTTATATACGGACTGGTGTAATCCAAATGGTCTGTTTTGCAATTAAAGTTTTGTTTTTTGCATAACAATATGGCGCTTTTAATTAAAAATAAAATCTTGTAATTCTGTAATACTAACAAATAATAATAGAAAACTTTAATAGTGCATGATAATACTGCATTGCTAAAAAAAGAAATCTAAGATTAACTAAGTCAATTAAATTGAATTGTAATGGTCGCCAGCAATTTTTTCATGGTTTCATTTGTTTCTAGAGAAAAAGCAAGTATATATTTTTTACTTCTTTATGATAAAGAAACGTCCCTTAGTTTTCTCTACTTTTCTTCTACAAGGATTACTTTTTTTCTAATACTTCCTTAATGCCTTTGCACAATTTGACTTAAAGCATTCCTTTTAACTTGGACTCTCGACCATTCTATTTCATTTCCATCACTCCTTTTTCTTTCATTTTTAAGTTCACCTGCACGTCGCGGCGAAAACGTAGACTCTACAAATTTCATTTTTGGAACTTTTATACTTTGCCAGTCCACCCCTCTGATATTTGTGCCGAGAAGTATATCATCATGGCTCTGATTAAGTTCTATGTTTTGTTAGTTTTTTCTTTGACTTCTCTAATATTTTCCAACATAATCTTTGTATATGAAACATGGACCACTTGCCGATGAATAGATTTTTATTAATTAAAAATTAAAATCCGTCAACTCAATTTTATTATATCGTCTCACATTTGCTCTTTCATTCATCCATATGAGTGTCACACTATTTACATGAGTTAATTTATTTTGTCACCTAATATTATAATTAAAGTCTTACCCTTTAACAGTGTGGCATAAAGCTGAGGAGGCATTCAAAAAGATATTTTGTTAGTATCCAATCCGTCAAATTATTTAAATTGTTTCTTTTTTGTAGTTGGTTTGGATGCTGCTGGAAAGACGACAATCTTGTACAAATTGAAGCTTGGTGAGATTGTTACGACGATTCCAACCATCGGATTTAATGTCGAAACCGTGGAGTACAAGAATATTTGTTTTACGGTTTGGGATGTAGGTGGGCAGGATAAGATTCGTCCGCTATGGCGGCACTATTTCCAAAATACCCAAGGTCTTATATTTGTTGTCGATTCCAACGATCGTGATCGTATTGACGAAGCCAGGAAGGAATTAGAAAACATGGTGAATTTCTACACTATTGAAAGGTGATAAATAAATAATAATTTTCTTACCATTTCAGCTTGAAGAAGACGAGCTTCGAGATGCAGTTCTCTTAGTTTTTGGTAATAAACAGGATTTACCTAATGCTATGAGCGCTGCGGAGTTAACTGAAAAATTGCATCTAAATAAATTACGAAATAGACGCTGGTATATACAAGCCACTTGTGCAACTCAGGGACACGGACTTTACGAAGGTTTAGACTTGTTGTCTGCTGAGCTGGCTAAGAAGTGATAGATTTTTAATATAGTTTATTCTTTTTATTTTCATTGGTATAAGATTTTGGTACATCTTTCAAATATACTTCGGACATATATGTATGTGAATAATACTGCAATTAATATTATATAATGAAAATATTTCATATGTAATTTTGTTTTCAAATATGTAGATGTGTGTGAAATTTTAACGAATTTGGCTAAACCTTGCTTAATGAGTATTAGCATCAAATTTTAAATAAATGAGTAGTTTTTAAAAAAAAAACCATTTTTATGTCCTGCACCATTACGGTTTGTCAAATTTGTGCACATATAACAGCCAGAACAACTTCAAATAGACTCCCCTTTTATTAAGCTTGTCCGGCCGCCTGTCTGTTTTGCATTCATGTGCTTAACCTCCAGGTGGCAATTTTTGAGATGCTTTGATTAGATGAGGTGCACCAAAGTGGTTGGCTCAAGGGGAAACTAGAAAACTGTTCAAATCAGACTACTTTTTCGATCAATTTTCCTGGCAATGCCTTATTTTGAAAGGCCGTTATATGAATAACTGCGTTAAGCGAACTGCTCTAGGGTAGTTAATTGTGGACAATGACCCATTTTAATAGTTTTACTGTCTTCATTTCGATTTAGAGTTTCAAGCTTACAATGGTAAAATGGATACTTCTAAAAAGAGGGTACCTGGACTACTTAACTGCATACTTACCTTTAGTAAGTGTTGATAATGAAAATCAAGCGCCTCAGTTTTTACTCAATAGCAGCTTCGCAAGTTATTAAGCAGAAGTCGTTGTTACCAAAACTAAAAAGCTTCAATGCATTAAAATTTAATTTTATTACTACCAAGTGGAGCCAATCTGATTCACGTCCCTCACAATGTTACAAGCGATCCAATTATCGATTTGGTTTCTTTTGGATATTTTCTACTTATTACTCACAGAGTAAACAAGACAGAATGTTGCAAATTGTTCTGTACATCCCTCATAAGAAGATGTAACGTTCGTTTAAAGATGTGTTAATTCTAAAATAAATATAGTGGAGGATTTGGTTTTTCTTAGCAGTGTAATGGATTGGGTCGATATGGATATGAAAGAGGGTTTGGTGAATAGAGCGAGAACAGAACAAACGAATTTAAATACATAAAATTTTGAACCTTTAGAAAAACCCGGTTTCTTGCAGATTAAAATTTTAAGCACCTCAAGCCTTTATGTAGAGTCATATAAAATTGAGTGGAATCAAATTTACCTTAACTCATTCAGTTTATTAATATAAAAGCTTATTTAGAAAAACATTTTATGTAACTTATTTTGCCTATTATTAAGTTACTGTGAAAGGTGCATTGTACCTTGCGTAGATTCTTTTAAGTAAATAGCTGATAATTTGAGGAGTCACAATTAAGATTAAAGTACGACGAAAAATGGTAAAATGAGAAATGGGTCGCTGCCCATTCTCATGTCGTTCTTTCGACACGATATCGCCACCTTGCCAAGAACATGGTCAAATGCTTTAATTAATACACTTTGTACCAATTTTTCTCAATAAACGCCTTTCTCCAGTGAAAAATTAATCAACATTTTTGGAAACACCTGATAACTAGCAACATCAGGCAAGGGTGCTGATTATGTATGGCGTTAGCTAGGTTTTAATTTCCAAGAATTCTGCTATATGTGTGCACAAGAGGTGCGGGAAATTCTCTCTCTAAATTGTTAAGACTAAATAGCTCAACTTTTGCGTTAGTGTTGGCTTTTCAGAGTTAATGCTGGTTGTTCAGAGTTGCATTTACAAATCAAAACAACCGTAAATTGAAAATACAATAAACTCAGAATAAAATTGTTTACTTACAAACACATGAACTAAAACAAAAAATTTCAAATTTGTAAACGGTAAGTAACTTGGCTTTAAAGCTTTTAATCAATTCTGCATAATCAATCGTTCTATTCGTGATCATATACTGTCGCTATCATTCACAAGAATCATTGCTATCGTTGCAAACGATCAACAAACAAAAGATTATTGCGCTATTGGGTTTATTGATCTAATGATGAGGTCTAACCATTCTACTAAACATAAAAAAAAAAAATAAGTAAAATCTTGTTAAATGTTATTATTAAATAATTACTTAACGGTGAGGAATATATAGATGTCAGATGCAATGATTTCTTTGCTCATATTATGTTAGTTGGCAGAAGAGATGAGTTTATTTGTGTGTGCAAAAAGACAACGTGTTATTAGAAAAGAAGAAGAGCAAAAAAAGGAAACGAAAATGGGATCAGAGATATGAATGTACAGTCAAACTTGGTTTTGTGCGTTTTTTTCTGCGGTCCCTATCTTCCGCACAAAAAAAGGTTTGCCTGTACGCAAAAGAGTGATGTCTGCACTCTCCATTAAATAAGATTACCACCACTCCTCCATAATCTTTTTACCACACCTTTACAATTCTGTGTTCAGTAAATTCTTAAATAAATAAATTTTAATCTTGGCAAGTGGTGAAAACATCCACTGCCTGATCATGAAATTTTGGAATTTTATCGTTTCGCGTTGAACTTGTTGTCGTATGAAATGGTTCTTCAACTCTATATGCTCTCGTCTCGAATAGTTCAGCATTGATCACGAATGGTCCATTTTCGACTGTAATTCATTCAATAACCGTTCTGACCAAATTTCCTCCTGTGCAACCGTACTTAACGCGACATACTCCGTTTCGGGAGATGTAAAACTTACATTTCTCCGCTTCGTAGTTTTCCAAGAGTACAAATTCTCATAAGATTTGAAGCAATATCCAGTTATACTCTTTCTGTCTTCAAATTTTCCCTAACTTGGTCATGGATAACCGTGTAAAGTATGCCCTGCTGTAATTGTCTATATGTCCGATATTCATTTTTGATCGCATTCAGATAACTTAGTATTTTCTTAATAGCATCTTCGCATAGAAGAATATCATCTACATATAGAAGCAAAAATACGTTATTCTTTCTGTAAAGACACTCATAATTTTCCGATGTAGTAAATCCGCATTCCAAATTTTTTTCGCTAAATTCATTGCTCCAGCATACAGCACTTTGTTTTAAACCATTGATCCGCTTATTTATTTTGCATAACTTGGCATTAGATGATGTGGAGAAACTGCAATAAATATGTCTTTCCTCATTTCTCCATTTAACAAAGCACATTTAACATCCAACTGATGAATGAAAATGATATGATCCTTGTTTACAACTACGCCCAACTAACCCAGCTTTTCTACATATGCTACCACTACCGTGCATCTTAATGCTGAAGGCCCAAACAACATCAATTCTGTTCTAGCTTCCATTTTCCGCAACCACCCAGGTTTGTTTTTTATTTATCACCGCCACTTCCTCATCTATCGAGTTTTTATCTTCTTTATTTTTATAAGTTTTTCAAATGTGTCTGGAACCTTGGATAAACCACACATCGTAGTACAATTGTAGTACAATCCATCTCATACTCATCTTAACATTTCGACTTTCTTCTAATTCTTCTGTCTTGCTTGATCGCTGTCTTCAAACACATCCACATCATCTTCTCTTGTTTCATCATCTTCTTCACATGTCTTGTTATGATTTTCCCCATTCATCTCTTCTCCATTGAATTGAATTTTGACTATTTCTTGGTCATAAATCATACGTCTTGTCCGATTATAACTTTTTCGACTTTTGTCATCGTAAAATCTGAAACCATTAATTGCGAATTCTAGCAGTTTCATTTTTTTTGATCGTCTTTCAATTTGACTCTTGTGAATTGGCTTTGGGATATTTACGTAAGCTTCGCTTTCGAAAGGATACATACACTTTATTATAATCTGGCTTCTTAATATTCTATAATTCAGCCTATATCTTATCTTTTTCAATTGCTGTTGTTGGTCATCGATTGATCGCGCACGCAGCAAGCTGAGCTGCTTCAGTCCACTAGTAATTTGGTCATTTAGAATGCAATACGCATCTGGCATTATTTATGACGGTTCTATTGAACAGCTCTGCAACGCCGTTCAGCAGCGAAGAATAGCGTATTTTCATCCATTTCTATGATCACAATACTCTCAACAAATTTATTTGATTTTTTTTCAATATAATTCCTGAATGCTTCAAAAACATCAAACTTATTGCGTAATGTTTAAATAACTGGAAAATGTGAGTAATGGTCGATGAACGTGACATATCACAACCACTGTCACTGTGTACCTTTTGCCTGCAACGTATCGATCGTTTTCATATACCTTTCCCCATTAAACATATATCACAATCGACCTCATTGCTATAACGACAGCTATGACCAAACTCTTGGTGTATTTGACTTCTATCTCAACTTCGATTCCAAAAGTATTTTTACTCTTGGTTTTGAAAATATATTCGTTTTTAACTTTCCATATTTTAATTGTATCTTTATTTTCTTTAATTGCAATTAAATTCTTTTCCAAACCTGGGACCATCAAAATCTCTGTCAAATATACTGCACCGCCATCAGTGTTCAACAATTAATTACATCGTCTGTTGCAAATCAGATATTCACCCTTTTTAGCAATACTTACTCGAGCAGGCTGCTTCAACCGACGTACATTGTTTACATAAAAAAAAATTTTTTTATTTAATATGATTTGAAGATCCAAAAAAAAAAATGGGCCCGATATTTCAATGTTGGACGTATTTCACTGATCCTCCGCAATTGAAAATAATTGATTTAAAATCAGCACAAGGAGCAACACCACTCTCTTATCTTTGCGACTACCACAGTAATTATTTTGCTGGTGCCGCTTGTTTCTGAATTTATTTTTATAATATTCGCCTTATTACATGCAAAGCATTTCACAGTTTTCATCTTTGGAAAACCATTGATCTTCTGGTCGCTTTTTCATGTATGCCATTCTGGATTTGACCGAAAAGCATCAGCACCTGAACAATTCCTTTCGCTTAGTTTCATTTCTTCCGTAGTAGTCGACTTGCCAGGTTATTTAAGTGTCTTTCCGCTGTTGCTGTGCTTTTCTAAGCCATAGTAAAGCTGGAATACTCTGCCGAAATAATATTGTTTATTATCAGCGTATTACTAATATGACGTGTGCCAAAATTTTTGACGTTGCATACAAACTTGAAAAACTTTTGCATCAAGAACTGTAATTGTCTTTCATTAGT